ATCGGACAGCGTCATTGGCTTGGGAGATTCTCTTGAGAACTTGGTTATGCGCCGGCGTCGGATGATGGCCATGTTCCGGGCATGGCCGCGCCGTCCTCACCTTTTCGAGCCAACACGGTGGGGCTAGTCAGCGGCGTGTCTGCCATTGTTCGGGTGCCAAATGTGCGTCCTCTCATACTGTAGGGAGTAGGTAAGGCCGAGAACATCGGGGTTGCATCAGCTTCAACAAATGACTCGATCACCACGCTGAACAGGGAACACGGAGTGCTGGGAACGGATGGCACATCTCCTACCCGTAGCAGTCACATGATAGACCACTAGTGCGGGTAAGGGTAAAGAGATGGACAATGACCGTGGCCCGGGGAGCCGTTTCATGGTTCCAGCCAGCATTCAGAGGCCTCATGCATCCGGGAATAAAGTACTCCGTACTGTACAAGTAAAACGGCAGCCAGGCCCTGGTCCTGTCAGCCGATAGCCGGACTGGGTTGGTATAGAAAGCCCGTCCATGCAAGTTTTAGGTGCGATGCGATGTGAACCAACCGGAATCGAGTGCCGGTGCTTTAATGGCTAGATCGCCGGACTGTGGTCAACCACCTTGATCGACTCATCATGACTCTCAAGGCTGGTATCGTCCATGAGCACGAAGATCTACATGTGTTAATGGCAATAGGATAGGACAGGGCTGAGAAAAGATATGCGACGGCTGCTGGGCAAACTCCTCCGTGAGAGCCGAGCTTGGAACTGTTGGGGGCTTCTGTTATACGAATTCAGCTGATGATGGTTGCAGGTTGAGGGTCAAGCCAGAAGAAGTTGAGGTAGCAGAGCGTGTACTCCGTAGCAGTAATTCCAATACGCAGCCTGGAAGCCGGGTATCGGAAGAGAGGTGGTAGGAGCGCAGTAAGGAGGCCCATGCGACAGTGATTGCAGTGCCGTCGCTCTCTGCCGACCAATGTTCCCGTCGTTCTCTGCCGATTTCATCTTCCTCCCTCTCGGCTAGGGTTGCTGGATCTGGAACACTGGGCTACGTGTTTCAAATTTGCGAAATCCATTCTCTCCAGTAAGTAAGTGTATGCCCACGACTGGGGATGATAGGCTGGCGGCTTCATATGTGAATGCATTGTTGATCGGCGTAGCCCTGCGCCTTGTGGTTGGTGGCCAATTGCAGTTGCCAATCGCACAGCAACGGATTGCTTCAATTGATTCGTACAAGCAGCATGCGTCTCGGCGATGCAACACTCTTGGTGCTGCCGGGAATGGCTTCCGGTCATGCCGCCCATACGAGGTCGGCGATGGTAATGGTGTGAGCGCATGGTTACGTTTGCAGGTGGCTTACCCTCCCGTAGCCTTGGGGAGATAAGTCATGTTTGGGAATCATTCGTGGAAGAGGACGACATGTCGTTTTTCTCGGCATGTCATGCTGCTCGAAGCATAGATTAGCTGGGCTGCGTGGTTGCAATGGCTTCCTCGGATGCGGCACCTACGAGACAAGCCGACCGTACATTTCATGTAAGGGTTAGCCAGGGCCCCATAGGAAGGACGGATGAGCAGAGCAGTCATATATCGACCGCGGCAATAGCTCAGGTGTCCTGCATGCAAGGACAGCAAGCCATGTTTGAATGCCTCGAGAGACAGAGTCGCATGGACGGAGGGGGGCTAGATTGCGTCCATGGAGTAGGAGGATGCAGGCGGGGGTGGGAGAAGAACCAATGTCATCCCGGGTGCTGCTAGTGCGACGATATTACGTGCTTGTACCAAGTTGATACGCACTTGGTCCATCCCGGGAGCTGAGGAGCCACGGCATCATCTCAGCATAGATGCCATGGCTACTGATGTCGGGCCTCTTGCGTGGAACAAGAGCAAACCGTGTATAAAACGAAGCATCGAGGTCGGGGTACGTGGTAAGATGTGACAGGAGCAGAAACGGCGCCAGGATTCGCTAGCCGTTAGGCTACCGGCGCCAGGCGACGGTGGCGCACGGCGAATCGTAGATCGGCCGGTTTGGCAGCGAGCGAGTGCCACACGTCCATGTATAAGCACGATCCTGTTGTACAATGAGATGAGTTCCAGCACTGTAACATGGGGCGCGAACCAGGGCAGGCCGGTTCCCCGTCCCCGTCCCCGTCCCCGTGCTGCGCAGCCACGCCCGGGCAGAGGTGCCTTGCCTGCCGTTGCTGGCACTGACTGACACACTGAGGCACATGCATGTGCGAGTCTTTGTCTTGCAGTGCAGTGCAGTGCTGCACATCAATCGACCATTCCCAGCGGCTCTTGTACGAGGATGGGCCATGACAAGCTGGGCAAATCAACTTGGCAGGGGGTTGCGGAGCGTTTGTTGTCGGCCCATGCCATGCGTGGTATCGAAAGAGGACGGACAGTTGATGATTGGTCGCTCTGCTGCGGCGGCGAAGATGATATTTGACGAGATAGCAGTTGAAGGGAGAAAGGCAGAGGGTGCACGTATCAAAATGTGGCCAAACCGGTGGGGAGGGAGAGAAGAAGCAAGGTGGTGGTGACGACAAAGAAAGAGGAGAAAACATGGGTTACTAACATAGGTTAGTAGTATACTCGTAGTCGTCAGTGTGTGTACCTGAGATATGTGAGGATGATGATAGGCCTAAACCGCTGCCAATAGTTCTTTCCTCCATGGACTTACTTTCTTTTTTCTTCTTCTTTTTCCTTTTTCTTTTCTGTTTTCTTTTCTAATTCATCACATGTCATTTTACTAGAATGCGTCATTTTCGTTCCTTGTACGGGCTACTCTTGTTGTCTCCTTCCTCCTCCTTTTTTCCCGTGCTCTTTCCTTTTTCCATCAATTTCTAAAGGGAACCTTGGCGGCGAACCAAAACAGCAGTTTCACAGAACCAACAAAGGAAGCAGCCATCCAATAGCGGGGCATTATATTCGCTGACATATTGAGTACGAAATAGGCAAATAAGCCTCGGCTGTCTTGTTTGTGCTTGCAGAGAGCATCGTGCCCTGTGGCACATGTTTCGATGCTCGTACATGTGCGATACGGACAACCTTGGACTTTTACGGATAGGTACCAAGTAGTCGCAGGTACTTTTGCAAGTACTGACGCAGCCCGCCATGCAGTCTACTAGCCCGCAGTACCTGAAAGTAACACGGCACGTAAAAGGCTCGCTAAGCCACAGATTCCCGTGTCCCTGTTGGATGAGGTTAATTTGAGTACCAACCAAAAAGGAACCACGAAATACCTCCCTTGCAAGGCGTCTAAGTCATCCATCTGACGGGAATCCACGCCTGGATTTCTTGGTAAGCCCTCCTTACATAAGCCCGTCGGGCCAACACTTCAAATTGCACTCGTCCAGGTCCACGGTTTGAATCACACTACCAAGTATTACAAGAGCACTAGACACCTTGTCTGGGGGCATCTCGCGGCATTTCCCCGATGTCTGTCCGTGGCCGCGGGCATTGATGTGAGGTTCCGGACTGCCGCGTCCTTATCTCCTTCTTTTCCCATTTGTCTCTCTCCGTCAGGCATCACATGTACCCCGGCCATCAAACGATTCATCCCACATGCAAACATGTACATGTCTCGTACTGAGCAGGCTCTGTGGGTGGTGTGGGTGTGGTAAGGGAACATCAGGCAATTCATGGCGAGCCATGGGGCGTGTTAAAAGCCAGAACGCCTTGAAATGCCTAAATGTCCATCGACGAGGATAGGTAAGAAAAGGGAAAAAGTAGCAGCCCGAGACACCGCCCTGAGACGAGACCACCGAATATTATTCGCCCAAACCAAACGCCTCAAAATGCGAAAGCCAGCGCAGAAGAGCTGAGGGCGTCTTCTCCCCCTCCCCTCGTTTGGTAATGCTACTGCGGTCCAGACTGCGAATTCTATGCCAAGGCTAGTCGATGCAAGAAAGCGTGCAAAAGAGTGATAACTTACATGTAGGAAACAGAAGGAATTACCTTAAATCGCCATTGGGCGGCCCCATGTAAGATGCTGCGCATTGGACCCAAAACGGCCTCGTCCGCATTTTACCTTGCATGTCTAGCTGGCTCGCTTGTTGACGCCGGTGCCAAAGCCCCAGGCAAGGATGAGAGCCTACAGCAGCTGAGTGAGAAAACAACGGCTCCAAAGCATCGCATTGGCCATTGGGCTCTTTGCTTGCACACCGGTGAAAAAGAAGGGCTGCATGCCTGCTGCGGGCTCTGCTGCGGGCTACAGGACTTGTGCAGCAGCGCGAGATCGTCACACTGCTAGCTCCGGACGCTGTCTGTACCTTTGTCCAAGGTTGTGACGCCCTAATGAAATGCAAGTGGCAGATGTACTTGGCCCCGGGGGGGGCGCGCGATGCCATTGGTCAATTGGTGCGCTGAATTACTCTGTTCAGCCATCCGCTATTAGAGCCTTGGTACCTTAGTACCTGTCGACGGCCTGCTGGGTACATACGTGTACCTGGGCCAACTCAAGCCACCAGATTGCGAGATGTTAGTAGTGCTTTAGTAGTAGATTAGCAACCAGCCAGGGCAGTGAGAAAAGAAATCAATCACATCAGCCTCGCATCCTCCCTCTCTCGCTTCGCAGTTGAATCTTGTGGGTCAGGATTTCCCTTCTCGCTAGGGCTAATTTCATCAAGCCTGCTTCTGCATGCCTCGAAGCAGGCGGAGCTTGCGAAGATGCTACCTTCATGTTGGAATAGGGCGCCTTACAGTAGTACCCATACGGGCAGGACCAGTACAGGCCTGTACCTGTAACAAGGCATGGAAGATACGGAGTGCATGTCGGTGCATGCAGCTAATGTATGTGAAGCCTTGTCCCATATGTACGAGTAAGTAGGTATAATAGCAGCAGCAGATCATCAGCCTCACACGAGTCCTGGCTATATGGAGGTACTTGTACGGTACCAGTCAGTCTCACTGCCTCACTGTACCTCGTGTCCTTTCGCCGAGCACCTGCCTCGCCAAACACTCTGGCAAAAAAAACAAAACACACCGCTCTCATGGCGCGGCAGAATGGTTCAGCGAGACTGATTCAGTCAACAATCTTGGCCTGCTTCATCCTCCTCCGTGTTTTCGGTCTCGTTCCAAGGGTCGGCCGCCCAGTCTCCATCGGCTTCCAGCTTCGGCTCAGCGTCAGCTCCAAACAGCGTCGGCAGCGCAAAGCCCTGTCCGCGAGAACCCCACCCGAAGAGCCCTAAATAAACAGCATCCGACATGAGGCGCTGTCAAGGTCTGGTCGGTCCACGCCGGGGCCGGCTGAGGGAAGAGGAAAGAAAAGAGAAGCACGGCACGACACGACACGACACGACACGACACGACGCCACATGGACGGCAGACGTGCGGCAAACTGCTCACCCACAACGAGCAAGTGGCTTACAAGTACTCGTACGTGTAGGCTGTCACCCGCTCGTCTCACCCTCACTTTCGCTTTCGGCGCATCTTGATCCCATCTAGGACAAGTGTCGTCAATACGGGCCTGGCTGGCAACTTTTCCCTTGGGCGGCCCCATTCCGTTAGCCGGTAGGGCTACATGCGGCGTCCGAGTCTTGGACATTAGTCGTGTGTCTGTGCCGTTCTTGTTTGGAGCATACGAGCGCAGGTATCGTGTATGACCGCCAGGGTTGTTCCGCAATGCCCCGGGAGAGATGCTTCCTTGCTGGATACAAAGGTGCGTCATGTGTTTGCATGTACATGCAGCACCCGCACCCGTACGTACGTTGACGTGGTCCGCCATGTATGAGGCCCAGACGCACAGCTTGGCAGCTTGTTGCAGCATGAATCAGCCTGTCTCGGGACGACGTGGCCGGCATAAAACTTGAGCCCAAAGCAAGCCATCGGTTTACACTCGCCACAACACACGCCAGCTCAGCATCAGCAAAAGCACCAATGTGAGTTCTTACCGAAAATTAGGCCTGCCCGCTCCCAGAGTCGCCAGTGGGCGCAGTTTAGCTTACTGCTGCTACTTGGAGTAGCTCTTATTTAGGTGACCCGTGGTGTCTTTCACGCTCGTCCTAGTGCTAGACAGGTCCAGGGGTTGAAAGCCCGCTCCCGTGTCTCCGGGCAAGTCAGACCCTTCCTTTGGGAGAGACTGAGCGGCGCTTGCGGGTCAGCTCGGAGGGGTGTACGTTTCTCTTCTATACATACAACACGGAGTTGAGCAGCGATGATGACGATGGCCTTTTCCTCCCCCGAGCTAGTCGTTGACAAACCGGGGGTCTGTAAGTCTGGCCTTGACCGTTTTGGAATGTTTGCACCCCTGTGCTGAGGCTCTGTTGGCTGCTAGCCCCGGTCGAATCGCCCGCAGCGTGACCAGCAGGCAGGTAACAGCGATCTTTCCGGTTCAAACGGAGAGTTGCGTCCGTCCGCGCGTGTTTGAACGAATTGCCCGCCCTCGCCGTCGACGGTTCCAGGGCCAGGGCTTTGGGGGGGGGGGGGGGGGGGGGGCCAGGGCCAGGGCCAGGTTGGGTATTGGCGTTTT